TTTTGGAGCTTTATAACTCGAAAAGTATTTAATGAAGAAACATTCGATTATAATGTTTTGGAAAGCTCTCAAGATCAGCTACAAGAATATGTAATAAAAAATAGGGGATGCCATTTAAAAAAATTGAGGTGACTTTCACGTGATTTTCAAATAATTCTTCAAGGCCTTCGAAACCAAACAACTTTTGTCTGAAAAATTTTTCTCTCCCAGGCTTGATTTTCGAGATATTCGACTGGATGGATTAAAATGGTCCACCCTGTATATAAAATACAAATATAAACCAATTTTAAACATAAATAATACTCAAAAAATAAATAATTTTCGACGAAATTTAAATAAGAAATTTTATTTTGTACATTTAATGATTTATTTGGCATAAACAAAATAGAAAAAATTGTGCTGAATTTGTCTTACTGTTTTGTCAGATATTCAGAGTATAAGCTTTAACATACTTTTATGAACATAACCCTTACAATATCTAAACTGATAGAATCATCTTTTGCAAAGGAACACAGCTTCATCTACTAATATCATTCATTCAAAAACATTGAGTTGAAATTGACTTTTAAATATGAAAAATACATAATAAATACAAAAACAGTCCGTCTACTAATTATTTATAATAAACTAAATTGCAAAATCATAGATATAACAAGAATTTCCTTTCTATATTTTATCACAAATCTTTTTACTATATTCATAATCATCAAATTCTACTACTGGGCTTTGCATATTTTTGTTATTGCATATGTTTTTAAAAAAATATGCAATTTAATTTTAATATCTTTTTAATGCAATGTGTATTTTCTTTATAATTCACTCATCTAATTAAAATAAGAGTTAAAAATAAATATTTCATTGAACATATATCTTATATTTTAAATATATCTTAAATATAAATGAGAATAAAGTATAAAAATATAAAATATTTTAAAAAAACTATAATTTTTTCAATTATTTTATCTTATTACTTTTTACGCAGAGTAATTAGAAAAATCATATTATTCCACTTAAAAAAATAAAGATTAAAAAATAGATTTAAAGAAATATAGATATTTTTTTTTAGTAACTCACAAAAATATATAAGAATTTATGCATGCATCATATTTTCCATTTAAATGAGTAAAATTTTAATTTTTCTTTCTTAATAAGAAATAAATAGAATATTTAATATACACAATCAAAATAGAATATCCTATATAATAGAATTTATAAATAAAATCTATATTTGTTAATGAAAATTATTAAATATTTATAATTAAAAAATATCTAAGAATAATCAGATAACGTACAGGTTGTGGGATTGTAGTGGCCTGGACAATTCCAGCTTGTGGCTTAAGAGTGGCAAGAGCCTCTCTAGCAGCAGTAACTTCTTTAGTCAATCTAGCGATCACACGGCAAGCTGCATCATGTTGATATAAAGCATGAGATAGTTCTTGTCTCGCAGTCTGAAGTTGCTGTCGTAATGTAAATGAATGTAACATAACAGCATCCCATTCATCTTGCATAATTTTTAATATCGCTGGAATAGAAGTTGCACTAGGTGGTTTGGGCTTGACAATTGGAGTTGCTATAATAGGAAAAGATTTTGATAATTGTAATTTTGTTTATAAAAATAATACAATAATACATTATATAAAAAAATACAAGTTTAAAAGTACCTTTAATATCAATGAGTTGATCAATACTGAGTTCTTTGCCATTAATAGGATCGACTCCATTTTCAGTCACATATTTTTCTATGAGACGTCTTTCAAATATTGATCCAGAGACAGGAGATATTACTGGATGCTCTGGTACCTCATTAGAAACTGAAAAGTTTAGAAATAATTTACATTAATAATATTTGTCAAATATTAAAGTAAATTTCATTGCATTAGGATTTAAATATATTAATTGTAAATCTTTGTTTTATATAAATATTAATTATAAGTTAGATATATATTCATATATACAAATTTATACACACACACACACGCGCGCGCGCGCGCGCGTGTGTGTGTGTGTGTGTGTGTGTGTGTGTGTGTGTGTGGGGTGTGTG